TATACTATGACATTTTTTGACATTTTTATGCCTGACTATACTATGACATTTTTATACATTTTTATGCTTTACTGTACCATGACATTTTTTGATATTTTTATGCCTTACTATACTATGACTTTTGATGTCTTGTCATAGTGTGACATTTTTATTCCTTACTATACTATGACATTTTTTGACATTTTTATGCCTTACTATACTATGACATTTTTTGACATTTTTATTCCTTACTATACTATGACTTTTGACGTCTTGTCATAGTATGACATTTTTATGCCTTACTATACTATGACATTTTTTTTCATTTTCATGCCTTACGATACTATGACATTTTTTTACATTTTTATGCCTAACTATACTATGACATGTTTTGACATTTTTATGCCTTACTATAATATGACTGTTGACGTCTTGTCATAGTATGACACTTTTATGCCTTACCATATTATGACATTTTTTCACATTTCTATGCCTTACTACAGTATGACTTTTGACGACTTGTCATAGTATAACATTTTTATGCCTTACTATACTATGACATTTTTTGACATTTTTATGCCTTATTATACTATGATGTTTCTTACCATTTTTATGCCTTACTATACTATGACATTTTTTGACATTTTTCTGCCTTACTATACTATGAATTTTGAATACTTGTCATAGTGTGACATTTTTATGCCTTATTATACTATGATGTTTCTTAACATTTTTATGCCTTACTATACTATGACTTTTGACGTCTCGTCATAGTATGACATTTCTATGCCTTACTATACTATCACATTTTTGACATTTTTTGTGCCTCAAAAGAAATAGACAGTCAGCTGGACTGGTCTTCTCGATTAATTAAACATTTAGCTAAAAAGACAAAAGTGTCAGTGTTATTGGCCTATAAATGATCTAATAAATAAATGATAGATTATTTAATTTTTCACTAGGGCCTTAGATTACAGTTTGAAATGTGCAACATAATTACTCAGTGGTTACACTGTAATCTATTAACTGTGCCCTGTAACAGTAATAGAATAGTTACCCAAAATAATAAATATTAATGACAGAATATATTCTCTGTTTCTTAGATTCTGTAATTGGTTGTTGTAATTACTAGATAGTAGAGGACTTCTCCACAGCTGTGACAGTTTCATATGAAGAAAATGGCTGCCATAAAACACTTCTAGTGACAGAATGGTTTGTGTGACATTTGTCTCTACCCTCATGCTTGTCAGACATTTACAGTTTCGTGAGTAGGTATCCTGGGCAGAAATGCAGACAGAAAGCAGACAGGTGAGTATGTCCTGGTGGTTGTCCTCTGGTGTCCAGTGAATCCCTGTTGCATCACACTGATCATGGCAGAGAGCCACGCATGCTGCTGTAAGAGGCTTGTGTCAAAGTAAAGCAGATCACATCCTGATAGATGACGCTGCAAATCTTATCGCTGTTGTGAGGAAGCCTGAGAGTTAAGGCGAACTGACTTTTTAAGTGGCTCATTACATTTATAATCTTGTATGACCTTTGCAATTAGACTTAGTCTACAAATGCAATATATTCTAGTAATATAATAATACTGCCTTAGCCATTGTAACTGTCAACATACAGCCTCTATGTGAATCTCAAAAGCTTTCATACAAGCCCTGATCATTTGCAAATATTCTGTAGTATTAAATCAGTCTGTTTCTGACCATCATTAAAACACCAGTGGTGAAAATTTGAGTTTCCATTTATTTGATCATATAACACTTTATACACAGTTGAATGATATATGTTTTTACAGTATAATACATGATTCAAGTAGTACATGAATATGGTTTCATACTTGCATAACGTACACAGGAAATACAAAAGCATTTTACCATTTGTCATGGTATTGAAACTGGTTGAGGATTAATAGTTATAGATATTTCTAAATGCATTCATTCATACACACGTTTCTCACATTCGAATGAGCCATCAAAGCAATAAATGATACTGCATAGACGGGCTAAATATTAAGCAGGACTCGAAGATTATACCTTGTGTTGAGGTTTGTAAACTATGTGCTGACTTCTATTACTATGTACAGTCTTGCTTTACAGTTTACAAATGTTTTATACACATATAAAACACACATTTTTAATACTTGGGAATATTTGGGATCAATTTTAGGGACAATTTCTTTTCAGGATCATTTGGACAAAAAAAAAAAATTTTATGAAAACAAAAAGATAAAAAAGTGGTCGGGTTAACATAGTGACACAAAAGTGTGATTTTTAAAGGTGGTGTAGAACTGATATTTTTTATGAAGGAAGCTTAATCGGATCCAGTTATCTGAAAAGGAAAAATGTCTATACTGAAAAGAAAACACAAATTTAATGCAAACGTATACCTGAGTAAAATGGAGTGCTCCTATTCTGTGTGCTAACCTTTCCCAGCTTACAGAATACAAAAAAAGATTTCCAGCAGGACACCAGCTTTTACATTCATTTATCTCTTAAGTTGTTGTTGCACTGGAACCATTTAACATTTTAACAATTCCTAACTCCTGCACTAATATAGGGAGAAACAGCAGATTATTCAGAGAGTTGACAGGAGCTTTACTGAGCTTTTCTCCAAGACTGATGGAGCACGTTATTAAATGCTGCTGGCAGAATAAGTGATCCCCCTCATTTGGTTTCACTTCATGTATTTGACATAGAAAGCAGCCGACAGGGAAAATTATAAATTATTATAAGTATTTACTAACACTTCCTTTAAAACAGTGATGTCAGCCAATAATCGCATAGCATTTTTTCCTCTATCTACAGAGGGAAGCTGTTCTCAACATTTCTAACAAATATTTTAGGACTGAATCAGACTATTTAGTCTTTTTGAGATATTCCAGGCATGGTTAAATAAATGTTTCTGGACTGTTGTGTGTTGTAGCTTGTATGAGGGCAGTCAGGCAGTTCAGCATGCAACAGGTGGTGCAACTGATGTATAAAGGATGGACAACGCTGGCACTGATTTGTTGTTGGGTCACGACTATATCTGCTTCACATCACAAGTATGTTTCCTTCCACCTGTTTTTATAGGCAGTTTATAGACTTTGCTCATAAAAGACAAAGCAAGAAGAAGAATAAAACAAGCAAACAAATAAACAACAAAAAAAAACTAAATGGAAACCCCATTTATAAAAGGTAAAGAAAAACAATCACTTAAATACCCCCAAATCAGAAAGAGAGAAAATGCAAGATTTTTTGAGTCACAGAGACTTCTTTATTGTGGTATTCTTTGATTGTTTAATCTTTTGCAACCTCTTCAATATATATCATTAGATTAGTTGATGGAAACATACACTTTTTTCTGGAACATTTGAATTGAAATATTGTACACTAATTGATCATTTTCTACTACAGCAGGACCCTAGTGATGAATATGCTCAGTGTTATTTCACTAGCAGACACAGCTGTAACTCTAATAGAAAGGAATTAGAGGACAACAAAGTTTGTGCCAAAATACTCAAATGTCACAAACTGAAACTCTTCAAATGAGTCTCTTCAACAGTGTTTTATTTTAGAATAAAAATATTGGCCTACCTGATGTTTCTCATACCAATCTTAGTCTAAGATTTCCCACTGCATATCACATAGTGAACAGAAGAAAGTGGTATGTGAACATGGCGATGATGGCCCCACGTTAGGCCTTTTTGATCTGATACAAAGTACAAAATGCCTACAGCAGTGGAAAATCCAAGACAAAAATATTGCTAGTACATGACAGTACATGAGTTCTTTTACATCAAAACCTTACAGAAGCCTGGTGATACCTGTTGATATTGAACACACCTTTTTAGTAATACATAATTTAAAAAAAAACCAAACGCTAATCTTTAGTTCACCACTTGTTGTCCCGACTGCATCATCTGCTGGGATGCAAATGTGACACTGACCTCTTCACCACTAGGTGCACTTCCATGCACCAAAACCATCCAGTTTATATTATAATCTCTCTCTCTCTAGAGTGGTGCATGTAAAGGCAGACAGAAAAAGACAGAACAGAAAAAGTCACACTCACAAGCTTATAATATGAAAATATAATTGGGATACACTGATATAAGCAGAAATACTGAGCATGATAAAACCTTAGCCAGTTTAATCTTGGTCCATGCTATCTGTCTACACTCTATTGTAACTATTTAGCATTTAATGTGTTCTATTATAGATATTCATGAATTGGAATTAAAGTAACAATTTCTGCCAAATATGTCCTGAAATGCAATGCACTGTATTTGAAAACACACTTGAATCATCAACACTGAGTATTTCTCTTTTGATGTCATTGCAAAGCCATGCAGTTGTTGGAGTGGACATTGTTAAAGGTTTATTAAGCAGCTTTCACACTTATGTGTTTCCCAGGTTTCCCCTCCCCGTGACATACGGGATGCACATCTCTCCAGAGCTCCACAAAAAAAAAAAAGTCTCTTTGAACCCCCAAATTCAGTTCATATGCTTAACATGGCTGCTTGCAAGAGTAGTAGAGGTACTTCTTATACTGCAGCACAATCCTTAAGTTGAAAAAAATAAATAAATGATGCTCTTCGATTAACATTTCCATCCTGGGTGGCGTTCAATTCACTTGACCATCAGTTGCTTTCAGCTGGTTTTAACCAATAGCTGCTACTGAACGTAGCCACATGGTACAAAGTGAGAGGAGTCTCTCCTATTGGGTGGCATAAGTCCATTAATGACGGACTGGCTTGTCTGCCACTGCTGGAAGGCTGTGTTGCACCAGTCTGCACCTGTAACAACCTGTGTATATTTGTGTGTTTGCTTCATTTGTGTGTGCAGCTTGACACTGAGTGTGTGGATGTATGTGTCTGTGTGTCTGTGTGTCTGCAGTCTTCTACTGTGTGCATGTGTGAGACAGATAAGAGTGTGTGTCCGTATGTGCATGTTTTTTCAATCCTATAGTAAATCATTATGCGTATGAGCACATTCATGTTTCATTTGAGCTTTCTGAGAATCAGTAGGAGCCGCTCTCTCTCAGACGGTGACAGGGCAGCTGATGACTTTGTCCTCCAGCATGACACTGACAATGAGGAACACGAAGTAGAGCAAGAACATGAGAAGGCCCAGGAACTTGCTCATTCTCCACTTGCAAGCCGCAATGGAGATGATGACGAAGAGGAGCATGAGGAAGAGGAGGACGATGGCGCAGAACAAGCCATTGCTGCTCACCTCGACCGGCTTGAAGTCATTGATGATGTTGAAGAGGAGCCAGGGGAATGGCAGACTGGAGGGAGCAGAGAGCACAGCAGAGAAGAGTCATATGGGTTTTCTCTTTGCTGGATTATGAGGGATAACACACAGCTATTACGAATGATATTTTCCTTGTTGTTTGCTGGACTCACCCCACAGTGATATCAAAGATGTTGGATCCCACAGAGCTGGACACGGCCATGTCACCAAGGCCTTTTCGTGCTACAATCACACTGGTGATGAGGTCAGGGATTGAAGTGCCAGCTGCTAATATGGTCAGACCCATGATCTCCTCTGTGATCCAGAAAGTTTCTCCAACCTGAAAGGAGGAATATGTGTCTTCATGTTGCAGCCACACAAACTTCATAAAGGCAGAAAAGCCACCATCTTACACGGCGCTCAGAACAATCTTGTTGTCTTGTTGCTGCTTTTGCTTCAGATTTGTTTTGATATATCCACCACTTTACAGCCATGGGTTGAAAGGTACAAACACCAACCATCACCGCTGAGTGTGGTCAGGTGTGGTGTGTTCTACTTGTGACCACACTTGACCACTGTGATGAGTGCTCTGACATAGCATAGTAGTATAGTACCTCTCTGTATCACAGCTGCACACTCTATGGGGAAGGCACATAGTCACCACTAGTTGGTGGCACAAGCAGCATTATTAGACTTAGAGTAGTTACTCTTCAATGGTGCAGTTTACATTTGATAGAGTCGCTGAGTGCACATAACAGTCATCCTGTGAATCATTTTGTGACAAGACTTTAAATATTTCCAGAAAAAAAGCAGGTGCATTACTCTGTGACCTTGCACATGCAGTATGACCTCCTGCTGCAGGCCTGTCTTTGCGTTTGCACTGTTAAAATAGAACATTACAGGTTGATCTGGCGGTGGATCAAGGCAGATTAGTCGGGATTAGCTTCCATGGTCACACATTCAACACCCTGACTGCTGCACTCTGATAAGAATAGAATAAAATAGAACAGAATAGAGAGCAGAGTATGTGCGTGTGAAAATGACAATGACAGAGATGTAAAGAAATATGACTTTGAAGGACAGATTTCACAGGCATCTTTGGAATTGTGTTTCATGAGTGTGCGTGCATGCGTGTGTGTGTGTGTGTTTTGTACCTGGTGAGCCCACCACACCATCAGGTAAGAGAAGAAAGCAATCCAACAAATGGCACCAATGAAAGTGATGGGGAAGAACCTTTTTGCGGTCTATAATGAATAAAAAAAAAAAAAAAAACACACACACACACTCAATAAATCAATAAAACAATCTCTGGCCTCGGCCTGGCTAAAAACCTGATATATCTGACTTATCACCTATAGGATGCTAAATATTTTTTACATATACAGTTATTCAAAACACTGATTAAGGAGGTTTTGCAGTAAAGAAACTAAATAAGAGAAATGTTGAATCTAAGTTTTCTCATTTGTTAGCATCAGTAATGATTGTGAAAACAGCAGTAAAACAAACCTTTTTTTAACATGTTGAGAAACACAAGCTTCTCTATTAATGTGAATATCTAATATCGTAAATTTATGGTGAAGAAGTGATCCATGAGCACTTTGTAAACGCATAGCATTTTTAATTTTCACTGTCTGGCGATGTGTTTTTTTGTGTGCGCGCGTGTGCGTGTGTGTTGGCACCTCTCTCCTGACGTCAGGTAGTGTGAGCCAAAGTGGAAAGACTATGGGCAGGATGATGAGGTAGGTGAGCCTCTTCCTGGTGGTGTCGGGCCAGGCCAAGCTCAGAGGCTGGTCTTCATCCTCCTCTTCATCACCCTGAGGAAGAGTTGATAAATTATATTGAACATATACATATAAATATATAGCCTTTTTTTTTTATTGTACAATGAAGTCAGGTGGTATGTTTGTTTATAGTGTTTTTGTGTTCTTTGTTGAGGATCTATGAAAATAGATGGTTTCAAAGAGCCTTGAATGTGAACTTGGAAGAACAAAGAAAGACAAAAGCCATACCTCGTCTCCTCCTATGACACCGTTCATGGGTGGCGTGACTTCCACTGCAACATTCGTACTGTTGGGGATGTTTTTATCAGCTTGAGGAAAGAAAAAGAGGAGAGAAAGGGAAAATGGGTATAAGGTAGTCTTTTATAATAGTGTTAAATTTGAAATAAAACTGGTGGTCTAACAACACTGAAAGTAAAAATGAAACTCAGTGAGATTTGCATTTCTTGAAGGTTGTGTAATATTATATGGAATTATATTAATGCCTCTTAAGAAAACTGATTAAATGACAGTTCAATTGCCAAATCAGTCAGTCAGTTGATAAATCAATTGACAAATGTCAGATATAACTCAGAAAATTCAAGAGAATTGGATGCATGTAAAAAAGGGAAGATACATTTACTAATAAAATGAATAAATAAAAATGTGTAATTTGATGATAAATTAATATCTTGTATCTGACTTCACAGAAACACCCCCTTTAGCAATCAGCTCACTTCTGATTGTAAACTAAACAAATGGTCTCATACTTCATTAAAGATATCACAAATGTGTATTTATGTGATCATGACATATATAATGAGATAAAAGTGGAAGGATTTAAGTAATAACTTCAGCCAACATTCACTACTTTTCACACTATAACATCTGGAGAATAACCAACCGCCGTATAGACATTTTAAAATAATCAGGACAACTGTAACATTAAAGGTGTAACTCCACCTTTGTTTCACAATTCTACATTAAATTAACTTGTCTATTGTCCATTCATTCATTTGTGATAAACACACTGTTGATTCATCTGTGCACTGTTTCAACCATTCACCTATCAATAGCCACAGTTCTTAAAGTGATTAACGATTTGCTAATTGATTTGAAACTTGATTTATCAGATTTTTGAGTGACACAAATGGGCTCCCATATAATACAATTCATCACTGTTACTCACCTATACCGTTGGAAGCATTGGCAGCATTGGCAGCATCTTCTTTACACTTCTGCTTGGCCATTTTGTGAAGGATTGACGCCTTCTCTTTGAAACGTCCTAAAACAGACACATACAGACATGTAATTCCCATGCTGTCATAAAGGTTAATTATATGTAGAGGAATATAATGATTACATAATTCATACTACTGCAAGATTTAAAAATGATATCTTGTTTCTGAGATCTTGTTGCATTTGAGTGCATTTGTGTGTTTCCTGTGTGTTTTTCATACCGATACCTTCATCACTCAGGGGGTCCAGTGTGTGGATCATGAGCTGGAAGATGCTGTTTCTCATGAGTGAGTTGTGTAGAGAAGCACAGCTGCCTTCTCTCTGCAGCCTGGGTTTTGCCTGTAAAAATGCAAACACAACATCTTCACATTATTCATCATTTTTATTCATTTATGAAACTCCGACAAGAAAAACAAGTTGGAGAAAAAAAAAACACCCCAATGAGCAGCTGCTCAAATTCAAACTGTCACATCTCTGTTTAATCGCAGTTTAAATCTCTGTGGTACATGCAGTACAACACCTTTTCTATCTCATGCATTCGGTATAATGTAAACATAGCCAGACACATAAAATGCTCTCTTACATAATGACCAGTACCAGACACTGCATAATAACTCTACATACACACACACACACACACACACACACACACACACACACACACACACACACACACACACACACAAAACAAACTTACCATCAGCTTGTTCTCATCATCTCCTGGAGCATTTACCTTCAAGGAAAAACACAGAGAAAGAAAACATAATATATATACAGTATAGGTTTCTTACATTACTGTATAAACGCAGGGCGTGGATACAGTAACACAAACGTGTGTGCTATATGCAATCCAACACATTAGGGCCTGCAATAACTGCAGCTGTTTTTTATAATGTTCTCTCTTTGTGTCATTTGACACGTTTATTCGACACCAGTTTTTGAGTGTTGCTGTTGGATTGGATTGCATCACTACATTGGCAGGGGTGGGATGGGACAAGTGAATTAATAAAGTTATGCAGCTACAATGCAGCTCAGTAAACTCCTACAGACCCAGAGGGCCTCAGAGCAGATCTGAAATGAAAATGTAAAATCACTTAGTGAAAACTTTAAACCAGGAGGAGAGAACAGGTAGAGTCTGAGTTAGATATGACATACAACACAGGTTTACAGGCATTTTTTATGTTTTCATATCTTTTTTTTTTTTAGACCAAGTATATTTTAACATATCAGTATGTTGACAGCACAATTGGTAAGGACAGGTATGAAAGATGACATGAGCCTTGTTCAACCCACAATATGACAATAAAAAGTGTAGAAAACATCTTTATCAATTTTTTGTCTTTTTAACAAAAAAGACCAATTTATTTTAGTGCCAAAGCATCCACTGAAGAAGAAAAGCACACACATTCCTCCACCTCACAGTTGGAGGGAGCGAACCAGAGCCAGAGGTTTATGGGTCCTGTTCCAACATGAAAACTAGGATCCTACACACAGAGGAGGACTCACACTAATCTCAACCCCAGCCATTTCTTCAGAGGACATATACAGCACAGTGGTGTCACCACATAGAGAAACACATACAAACACGCACAGTCCACCGCCTGAAACAGACAGAGACTGTGGTGTGGGTTTGTGAAAAATACAGAAGTGGTGATGTCAGCAGGGGGGGTGGTTTAGTGTGGGAGTCAGGGATTTGGAGATGTTCAAGAAAACAGATGGGAATAAAGTTTCATGGGTAGATATTGGGTAGATATTGTGTCTTTTTCCTTAAACAGGCCTAAATGTAACACGGAGTAATGTTATTTTATTCTTGTTTGCACAGAGAAAACCAAAGACCAAAGACCAAAATTATCATGAATTGATTGAGGAGGTTTGGACAAACGATCACAGTTACGTTATGGGAGTTTTTTTTACCTCCGCCAAGGAGGTTACGTTTTCACCCATTTGTTTATTCATCAGCAGGATTATGCAACAAGTACTGAACTGATTCGCACTAAACTTGGTGGAGGGATGGGGCCTGGAGCAGATCTGGATCATTTACTATGAATTTGAATTTTCTTTCTCTGAAGTCTGGTTTATGTTGTTTGACATTGGCCTTTGTGGAGGTCTGTGCTCTCTGAGTGCCCTTCTAGTTATGTAAATGTTTATGTATATATATATATATATATATATATAAAAATTATAATATATGTATGTATGTATATATATATATGTGTGTGTGTGTGTGTGTGTGTGTGTGTGTGTGTGTGTTGAGTGTATGGAGAAGTTTGCTCCAAACAAGAGAGAAAGACCCACAGAATTGGTTAAAGGTAGCAGATTATAGTATATGCAAATTAGAAATTAGAAAAGTTTGAAACTTCATGTTAATTTTAAAATGACTGATCAGTATTTTAATAAACAAACTTGAGGTATTTTTATATTTAACTAACTTTCAATACTGTATATAATCTAAAACTGAAGGTCTTTACATGAAAGGTGACATAATTTTAAACCTTAGTACTGAGCTGCATTAGCACTATTTTGTCTGTTCGCTTGCGTGACTTGTCATTTTCCTTAAATAGGCCTAAACGTAATACAGAGATAGCTTACACAAAGAATTGTAGCACGCAGCTGAGCTAACTCTTCCTTCTCTTTTTGTACGCTTCCTAATTCATATTATAGATATATCCGACAAACTCAGTGGGGAAACTTGAAAAGCAAACACAGACAGCCACAAACACCAGGGAGAGAGGTGGAGGGTTTTGTTGTTGACACGTTTTCATGATGGAGGCCTCAGAGTTTGAGCAGATAATCCCTTTAGCGTGCAACTGACAAGACACCTGCTGCTGTTATGGCAGCTGAAGCAAGGCTAAAGCCAGGGGTTTCTTTTTGTTTTCAACGTGCTGGCATTCCTATTGACTTGTTTCATGTTTGTTCAGTCCAGATTTGTTTGAGGAGGTGTTTATAGCTTCAGCTGCATGAAGATCCTCTGGCTGCAGACTAGGTGATGTTTGTGGATTTAGCTCTAAGTTTATATTAGACTCTACTTAGACTCATCAAACGGATATAATTTCAGAAATGTCTTTTCTCCGGAGTTGTACAGTTTTATACACAATATGTTATAATTTTTATGAAGAAAAATAATATGTTAAAGATGTAAAGGAGGAAAAAGGAGCAGTGGACACCTGTCTGTACTGACCATGTGATTGCTGAGCAGCGCAGCTTCTGCCCTAATAGCTGAGGCCAGCTTGGCATTAGCTCATGTCGTCTAATGCTCACATGGCTCCTGAGAGCTGCTCGGTGACAAAAGACATGTAGAATCTGCTGGAACTGAAACCGGCTTTTAATAATTGTCCTTTGTGTGAAAACCCAGTTTAGGTGATTTTCATGCATTACCTTCCACAGTCTGAGAAACACCTTTCACCATCCTCCAAAACCTTTTGTTTGTCATTCCAGCAGGTGGCAGAAACAGATTCAAAACTACATCTAATTAATCTGTAACTGCTGAAGTAGTAAGTAAGACAAATGTTACAGAATAAGATAATCCAGAGTGACATTTACTCTTACAAAACAAGAAATAACATTATTTTAAGTTACACTTTTAAGGCAATTTACAGCAATTTCTATTTTGATAGATACAATAACATCTACAGATTGGATAATCTACAGTATAGATATATGACCTAAAAGACAAATGTGTTTACAAAGTCTATCTATTATGAAGCCACGTGATGTCGTTCATCTCTTGTTATTTTCTGAGTTCAAAGTGTAATGCATTTACCAGGTTTTATAGTGAATTGATACACTTGGCTCCACTTTGGCTAATGATGTACATCTATTTCACTGACTGATAATGTAAGACAGTTTAAAAAGATGTTTCCCTCTTGTATATGTGTAAATCTATACATATTTAATATTGTCATATTGAGTGTTCAGGAGTTCCTCTATGTCACAGTAGCGTACCTACTAGACATCTCCGTGTTTAACAACTGTTGATTAGAAAACATATTTTTTTAATTTTGGGCTAAAGATGACATTCATACAAAATATAATTAACAATACTTCAGCATCAAAATCTACCTTGGGGAGTAAAACGAGTCATCAAAATCAGCTCATGACTAATTCATGTTATAACAGTGAGTTGTTCGAGATTTGAAGATGATCTGCTTAGAGAAAGAAGAAAGCTTCACTAAACGATTTCTGCACTCTGGGCTGAGCTGCTGTTCCAGTTCAGTTGTCTCATCCCTGGTCCAGACAAGAAGCCAAAGACACTGGACGAATGCCAGGATGTACAGTGGTGACCTGGAGCCAATAGATCTACACCAAACTTTCCCTTCATCACTCTTATCATCATCGCTGTCATCAGTGAGGCACAATCAGTTCACCATTACAAAAATTCAAACATCCACGTTTACTTTCCCTCCGCTTTGTTCTCTCTCTCTCTCTCTCTCTCTCTCTCCTCTGTCCACCTGACTGTCCGAGCTGGTGGACTTAGCCAGGATTAATCAGCAGAGATCATCACTTTTAGACTGGTAATTTTCAAGTCCGTGTGTGAAGCAACTTTCACAGGTCACCATGCTGTCAAACATTTGTCTTTCACAATCATCACACTCATCTGTCTGTAAACAGTTGCTCATTATAACCCAAAGTTCCCCTGCAGTCAGTAAGGATTCATCAACAATTATCAACATCAACAATTCTGGCGATTAAAGGACAACATTTAAAGTTGAGGGTAAAACAAAAAAAAAAACTGCTTCCTTCACAGATTGCCACTGTCGCAAAATCAAGAAGTCGACAAACAGCTGCAAGTGTAAAATCAGTGAGTTAAGCTTTGTGCTGACCCCAGAACAGAACTGTAGGCTACCATAAGAAGAAAAGAATCAGATTTTTTTTTCATTTCAGTTGCATTTTGTTGGATAAATAAAAGTCAACATATATCTGCATTCTGGATCACGACTATTAAAAATCCTCAGAATTATTATTAGCAAACAAATAAGCTGAATTTTCTATACAGATACACTAATGCAGAGACCTCTTCTGTTTGATCCCACTACTACTCTGCTTGCATTGTGATCCTTTCTTCACAGGAATTTATGATTGCAAGAAGAATTTGACCATTTTGTTAGCGCTCTGCAGAGGAGCAGAATGACAGTATGCTGGGCTGCATGTTTGCTGTCGTCACTGCAGGTAAGCAGTTGATAAGGGGATCAGAGAGGATTGGCGTCTTTAGGGCCATCAGCAAGCAAATCAGAAGATCGTCTCTCCCCCTTCCCTGAACAGACACAGTGTGCAACATATATAGGCTACTAAGCAAAACTGCCTGAAACAGCCGAAATTATGCACAAAACTAAAAACCACACCACACTATGAGAATGGCTGCAGGCTGACAAAAGAATATTCAGTCTTTTCTCTCAGTGATCTGCTGATTCCTGCTCCCCCAAGGAGCATCAGACTATTATTAGCGGCGCTAATGGGATAGGAGAGTATTAACCTGGGGGATTATTTAGCAGCTATAGACACATGAGGGCAAGGTAGTTGGACATCAAGTGCCGGACGACAGAAAGAGAGAAAAGCTGTTCTTGGGTTGAGATGAGGCAGCCTGAAGAACAGCTGATTCCCAGAAGGGCACAAGTGTCAAACAGAGCTTCTGCAACAACACTGATACTAATAGAGGGTGATCAGTGCACAAATGTGTTCAGCTCTCAGGTTTAGGAGAAATACAAAGAATATGGCATTTACAAATCAAATATCTGATGATACACTTGGAGCCTCAGAAAAATAAATCGTATTGTTATTGTCTGTAACTGACTCTTAAATACAGGCTTCATCTGCATGAAGAAAATAAAAGAAACTGGAAAGTACTGAATCAGCTGTTACCAATCTACAGTTAGGAAAAAAAATGGAGAAGAGAAGGGAGACACAGGCAAGACAAGATTAATTTTTATATATATAAGAAGATTAATTTTTATATATAAGTAACTGTAATTCAGAAGCAAATAATTCATAGCTGTGTAAAACTTCTAAATAAAATTAAGTCATGCTTCTCGAGAAGCATTTTTTTCTTGCTTACCTAAGCAGTTAAAGGGAAAAGCTTTAAAGCAGATATGACCATATTGGAGGCTGATGATCATGAGCTCATCAATTGCCTAAAACATCTACTGGCCTGAAATATGTATATATATATATATATATATGACCATGTATATGTATATGACCATGGAAATAGTTGCATCATTCTCTAAGTGTTTTCAGCCACTATTGTATCTTAACAGTTTGTTTGGTTTACATTTTTAGAGGAAGACCTCAATTTATAGGCCTATAATGATAAAAATGTGAATAATCTGTAATTAATATTCCTGGAAAAAAAACAAAAGCAGCACTGCACTGTATACGCCCCTGAAGAACTGGTGATGGGTGATGCTGGTCTAAGCTACGGGCAAGCTGCTCTAAGATCAGCCTACAGTAGTTTTAGCATTTGTCACCTGGGCGCCGTATGAGATTACAACATCAGAGAGCAACAGATCTGACTCCAACTGCACACACAGACAGAACATACAACAGACGGAGAGACAAACGTGAAAAACCAATAACAATAATAAGCTTATTTGTGTGTATGTGTGTTGAACCTTTTGCATCACATCATCAGCTCTCAGCTCAATTTAGAAATCCAGCATCAAGCTAATCTCAAAATTATACTTTCCCATCGTCTTCCTCCGGTGAAGTGATTGGCTTCGTGATTGTGAAGTGACCAGTATTGTAAGTGTGTTACCACTGGGTCAAAATGGGTCATTATGAGTCACACTGTGAAGTATAAACAGTAACATTACACTTCCAGAGTGAAAAAATTAAGGTTGTTTTTAATTCTCAAAAGTCAAAATAGTTTCATATGTCTCATGCTTTCCGAAACCCAGAGGTTTATATAATCTGTGTGTAATCCGTGTTAGGACGAATAACCACAGATGTTCTGAAATGATCTTTAGTGTGACTGAGTTGAAAAAGAGGACAAACAACACTCAGCGCTACAGGCTTTCCCTCCAGAGTCAGAAGACCCTGCCCACTTTACCCAGTGTCATAGCCAATACGAGGGGAGCTGTAGGAGGGAGCGTGCTGATGGGGTTGGAGAGATGCTACATGGATTTTCTTTTTGACTAATTTCACAATGCCTTTGCTTCTTTCTTTGCTTTTAGTTTTCCACTGATTTTATCACACAGGATGTCATCTCAGACATCCATCTGAAATTCATCCATCTACACTATATGTAGGTTTCAGGATTACCAACACAACATCAGAATTCACCATGGCAAGAGAACAATTACAGTGTCTAAATAATAATGTAATTCATATACATATATATCTAACCAGTGTTATTGTAACGTGGAAAACTGACTGATTTGCTCCCAGCATGGGATTAAAAAAAACTGTAAAAAAGAAAAGCACTAATATTATCTTTGAGGATCTCAGAATAGGAAGATGAAGTTTGTGACAAATAATTAAATAATTATCATGTTGGACGAATAAATGGGTAACTGAATTTTGACTCAAAGTTGGATGTAATAGTAATTTTACGTTTGTGTACTTTGAACTGAAAACATATTTGTCCTCCAATAGCGCTGACACAGCTCTTTGGAAAATGACCAGTGATCTCTAAAGATACATGTGATACATGTGACCATATACAAACACGTGCGTTGTGTTAATTTAGATACTCTAATGGGTAATAAACATGTCAAAAGTATTCACACACAAATTGTCTTTGTATTTGAATTCCTTTGAAATGGGGGCTTTTTACTAACCAGCTCCGTTACATCAGTCCTATTCTGAGAACCTTTCCGGACTCTGGTCTGGACTCGGTTCCTAAACTTAGTGACTGAAGATGAGGCCTGTTCCTAGACTTAGTCAGCATGAAGGCACTGCGGTCTGGCTCTGCATCTGGCACTGTGTGAGCTGCACAGGTGGCAGGTTAAGACAAATCTTTATATCCTTCCAGAGGGGAATTCAAGAGGACTTGGCTGCCTGACAGAGTGCTGTCTGTTCAGCAACCTCTGTTTTAACACCTTCTGTGCCTCAATATAACACCCTTGCAGATTCCCAGAACAGGAGCACTACTATACTCAGGATCAGTAGTCATGAGCCTTTTTTTATCTGTGATCCTATTCACTGTAAAAACCAAATGCTTTTTCTCAGATCAATTATCACGAGATGCCCAGATTTCAGCCAAGAAACTCAGACAGTTTCATTCCGAGAAATACTTATCACCTCATCCACATCAGAAACCCATGTTAATAATGTTCTCTTAAAGAAAGAAAGGGAACTGCGTCTTTCATACTTTGATCTTAGTTGGATGCTTTCAACTTTTAAGACCTTTTCACTTCATTATCCCTGCTCTCCGACATGTACCTTTAAGACTTAGAAAGCTCTTGATGGTTGTTTCTGATGGGGATGCTCTTTCAGTGGTTGGAGGGGTCAGTCGGTGAAAGAGAGCATTGGGGTAAATGTATGGATGGATGAATGTAAGCTTCAGCTGTTCACACCCAAGATGGGGTGAAAGATGACTGCTGTTCAGCAGAAAGTGGCAGCAGTAGGATGGGTACTTCAAAAGAATAGGGGTTAAGGGAAGATGGATGGATGGATAGATAGATGGATGGATGGATAGATGGATGGATGGATGGATAGATGGATGGATGGATGAATGGATGAATGGATGAAATTGGGCTCACCTTTGGTGCAGTCTCCAGCTCGTCCACCTGGTTGCTGCCCAGCGTGCTCTTGATGAGAAGTTCTACTTTGGCATTGAACTTCATGAATGTCACATAGCAGGTGTAGCACATCAGCAGGCTGATACTTTCCCCCACTGTGATTTGATTATCCAGAAAGAAGTAGATGAGCATGAGCAAGCCAATGATATAGAACGAGACGTCTCTGAACAGAGGCCACCAGGTGAGGTTCAACACCTCTTTGGAGAACAGGGCGCACATCCCGATCACAAAAAGGATGTTGAATACTGCTGAGCCTACGATGGTACCGATACCGACATTACTGTGAGAGACGAAGACTCCTATGACAGAGGTGAAGAGCTCAGGGGCTGAGCCACCTGCTGCCATGAAGGTGGCTCCTGCTACATCATCAGAGATCTCCAGCTTCTCTGTGATGACAGTGAGTGCTGGGACAAAGAATTCATCGCAGACGATGGCTAAGGCTATGAACATGTACAACATGCCAAACATATGAAACACCACAAAGCCCTGACGTCTCTCCTCCACACTGAAGTAGTCCGTTGGGTAGTCCCCGTGATTCATCTCTTCATCAGATGATCGCATGGCCACCGGTGTGTCCTTTGTCGCAGCTGAGAGGTTGTGGTACTGCAGAAGAGTTCTTTGGGGCACTGCCGCCTCTGCTGAGCCCTCGACGGCCGATTCCAGCTCGGTGGCCACCGTTGTGGCCAGCGACAAGGCACTCCATGAACAGACAGTGGAGACCACCACCAGGCTGATGATGAAGCCCATAATCCGTCCAGGCCGCAGCTTTCTCTTGAAGCCCTGGTAGTGATACCTGGTGCAGCGGTTGTGAGGGCCCAGAAGAGGAGCAGAGCTGGAGGGAGCCATCATGTCTCGACTTCTTATGGGTAGCATGAAATCCATGGTGGTTGGCGCAGGTTGTCAGGCAGAGTGGAAAAGTCTGGAATCCCCCCCAAAGCTTGGTTGGTGGTGCTGGTGGCGATGAGGGCGGGGGTTTGAGAGGCCGCGCCGGTTCACCGATTTGTTTGCATGTTGCTCCCCGGTCTAAACACAATGGAAGCCCTGCAGTCTGATTCCTGGATCTAGCCCATTCAAAGGCTTCCTCATATTACTCACTAGATGACAGAGAAAAAAGTAATACAAGTTTTAATGGATGCATAATATTAGAAGAGAATACATAAAAGTAAGATTCTTATGTGAGTGTGTTGCTTCTTTTTAACTTTTTTCACTCTCAATATCCATCCACTTACTATATACTTGTCTTGTTAGCAGTAGTGGACAGAAACCAAGTACATTTACTCAACTTAAGGACACATTTAAGACACTTTTATTTAAATATTTTCATTTTCTGCCACTGTGTACCTCTACACTGCTACATCTCAGGTGAAAATATTTAACTTTTTACACCACATTTATCTAACTACTGCTGCTAGCTGCCTCACAGATGAAGATTTGGTGAACTGTTATTGATAGACAGTTTTTCAAATAAACTCCTTCTCAACTTGCCACAACATTGTTGCTTACATGTTCATGCATCAGTGATACTAACCCAGTGATATATTGTCTATATTATTGTAAGAGAGCTGACATTAGGTTCAAGGTTCAGATGAATAATAATTGCTGGGCAGGATATTCTATATAAACAGACCAAGCTGATGATAGATCAGTGTTGTATCTGCACCTACAGTCAGTGTTTATGTGATAATGCCACAACTCATGTTTACAAAAGTATCACATTTTAAAGTTTTGTGTGTTTTTTTTTTTAATCTGAAATCCATGACTCTGGAATTACAGTATGTACTAACTAAATTGCTAATAGTAGTTGATAGTAGCAGTATTAATAGCACCAATTCTGCTTAAGTGCTGTGGCCTCTTTGACATTGTGCTGAGAACCTGCAGTGAGAGTTCTCCTTTAAGTGAAGCTTGGACATTAGTGAAAGCTCATTAGGAAGCAATTTAATCCCTGAGAAGATATACTTAGATTAGCCTCAGGCCCTGCACACCGATGCCACTGCACAAAGTCAAAAAATTGAAACCAAAAAATGAACTGAACAACAATTTAGAACTTAATTTTCACATCAGCTACTCAATCATGACACATCCAGACAGGAACAAGCTGCAATGTGGAAACATACTCTTACAAGTCCTAAACGCTGAACAGTCCTAAACTGCTATCAAACACCAATGTCAGTTATTATAAAACATTTATTGTAGGATTTCAGATCCAGCTGTGCTGTAACAGCAGCTCTTCAAGAAACACCCTGGACTCTATGTGGACATTGGAGCAAAGACAAACTACACCTACATACAAAAAGCACACAAACATCATTTTTGTTCTCATACCACTCTCAGATATTTCCCATTCAGCCAGAAGGACTCCAGCAGGTAGGCACGTCCAGAGTCTCTGAGTGAATATTCCAGTAAATTGAATCCCAAAGGACGAAAGATGCAGAGGGCTCAGTGTTCAGTCTGAAGGTCCCAACAGTAAATCCTCAGTGAGATTTTCCTCCCACAGCAGAGGTGGAGCTCAAAGACATCAGCTCCAGAGCTGAGGACCTCCCTCCCTTCGTGTGTTCCTCCCCCCTTTGACACTGCCTCCCTCCTGTTACCTTTCTCCACCTTCCTTGTCCTCTCTCTCTCTCCATGTCACTGCCCAAGAATGAGGATCAGTGCTGTCTGTCATTGCCTCTCCTCCAGCTCCCGTTCCCACCTTCCCCTAGTGTCGTGTATCATTTCTTTCTGTTGGGTTTTACACAAGCTTACAGCTTGATGGGGCTGACGCCTAAGTGCCCTCAGATCATGGTACTGTGCATAAAGCCTTTGAAAACTATCCCAATTGCTCTGTGCAAATGAACTGGAGCAAAGTTCAGAGGAGTTGCTGCATGATATCTGTATGTATTAGAGTTGTATAACTTTACTCACTTAAACTTAACTTAAACTTACTTAGGTTAAATGAGGATGTCAAATAGAGAGGAAGAGGCACAAAAGATATTTTTAAATGAAACTTTACTCTAGCACATCTTCATTCTGGCATATTATTTAGATAACAGTTATTGATACCTTTGCAGAGATTTTTGTATTCATATTCCTGGTTATTATGAATGCGTAGTTTTTTTGATATGGTGGTTTTACATAATTAAAAACAGGCAGAGAAAATATAGTCCAATAAAGTAGACAGGTACAGTTCTTGGATAAATAAATAAATTTCAAGTATGATAACAACAAAACCCCTTCCCATGCCCTCTCCCAGAAAAGAAAAATATATAAATAAATAAGCAAAATAAAGTTAGGGCAACATTCTCAGTAACATTTCAACATCTCCACTGCTAGCTTCAAGAAAGGTACGTGGGTATGTGATGGAGATAGATCTATTGTTTGTCTATTGTTGTTATGCTGTTGCACCAGCTTCCATATGCGAAGGAATGTTTGAGGATCGACAGGCAGTTCATACTTCAGCCTCTCTACATGCAGGACAACCATCAGCTTCAGGCCTCAAATTGAGGAGGTGAGTCTGATCTCCACTATTTCAGAATGTCTTGTCAATTACCAGGCAATACACCAGGACTGTGCGGATGTTATGGTCTAGCTAAAGTTATGGAGTTTTGGACAAGTCCAGAACCGCAATTTTGCACCTATTGCCTATGAATGTGTGAGAAAGTTTTTCTTCAGTATATTTCACCCCTTCTTTCCCGTTTTTGTTTGCACTCAACATTTAAGTCATAAACAGCCACTCGGTGGACATGATGCCACCATGCCCTCTGTCTTTCATTTCCCACATGTCTGTAATTGGCTTTGGGAGCAACACCTGCTCTTAAGAGACAATCCTGTATCCTGCATTTATAGCACAACAATAAAGCCTACTGAGACATGCTAATATGGACTAACACACAGACAGGCCCTCCTCCACATTTTACCAAAAGGAATCAAATTAATAATGTACAAAAATAAACAAAAATGATTGAAATGCGTGTGTGTGTGTGTGTGTGTGTGTACTTGTAAATGCTACATTGTGACGACCAAAAAAATGTATTTTCCTAACAGAGTGAGGACATTTTGGGAACGAGAGGACATTCTCACTTTCTGACAGAACTTCAAAAGGCTTTTTGATGGTTAAGTATTGGTTTTATGTTTAGGGTTAGAATTCAGTTTTGGTTCAGCTTGATGGTATGGGTTGGGGTTAGGCATTCATTTGTAATGGTTAAGGCTAGGGTAAGGGGCTAGGGAATGCATTATGTCACCGAGTGTCCTTACAAAGAAAGAAGTAGGGTTATATGTGTGTGCATTTGCGCAAGCTAAGGTCAGGTCAGGCTTTACACGTGAGAACTGTAAGCTTCAATAGCCACCTGGAAGTGAGTTCAAATGATGTGACCTATTCTGTTAAGTAGCGTGTCCCTAACACAGCTCCACCTCTACCTCTGCCTACAAGTGCACTACCTGTGTGTGTGTGTGTATGAGAGAGAGAGAGAGAGAGAGAGAGAGAGACAGAGAGAGAGGTGAAGAATGGGTTCCCTAAGAATATGTCATTAATAATTATTAATTAAAAAAAAAAAATGACTCAGTACCAGAAAACTGTAAGATTTTGGCAGTCTGTTGTCAGAATTATGTTTTTTTTTAAAAAAAGCATTACTCCATTTCACTTCCTTCATAAACAACATATTCCTTACTGGGAATAAATCCAACCAGACCTGCCTATTGTTTCTCACCTCCAACTGCTCTTATCCAATTAAACAGGCGCATAGCCTTAATGGAGTGGACCGCTAACTTTCCCTCACAAGCAAAATGTTTCTCTTAATGGATTACAGTTGGTCTCACCCTGCCATGAGCACTTAAAAGATTAAATAGCCTCAAGAAACAGGGGTGTGTGTTTTGCTAAACTCTTGCTCAGAGGATATTGAAGTTAAATGAAAAAAGGAAAATACAAACTGTGCTAAAATGGCTGAAAGGTGTTGTGTTCTCTCTATATTTAGTCTATACATACATACACACTGATCAGCCACAATATTAAAACCTGTAACAGATTAGTGTACTTCTACAATGTAGAATAACAAGCCAATGACACGGCCTGAGGTGACACTTGGTTTGCTGCAGAGGTTGTTTGACTTCAGTAAGAATTCTTTATTTGGGCCATAGCTTCTATATTAAGGGCTGTGTAAAGTTCTGAAAAGACTAAACTTGTTACATAACCAACCAAGATAACCTTACCCTCCTTCTAGGTAGGCTGAGGTACATCGTCTGCAGAACTTGAAATACAACTAAGTCTCTTGGCATGCAGAAGAAACCAGCAGACCTTTGGTAGTCGTTTTGGGTTAACTTAACAATACTCTTCTCTCACAAAAATATATAAGATCTGTCAGGGGGATGACTTTGAGATAGCTGGAGTTACAGTGACTGAACATAAACATTAGCAAAACTTTGGCTATATAAATATAAACCTTGATTTTGCATCACAGACTAATTTTCGAAAGTCCATTAAATGATTAGATTTTTTTTCTTTTTGCAATTAATCAAGATGAGGAGTCGCCAAGTCATCTCACTGGTAGGCCAGTCAGTGAAAAGTAAAAGAGAATAATGTTCCTCTGTGAAGCTGGGATCAGCAGCAGCTTATTGGCTAAAGCTCCTGCCTGAAATAGCTTCTAAGTTATATATGACTTCGAGAGAGACCCTTTATCTATGAGCAGGGACAGCCAAGGTAATCGGTCAGATCGGTGACTGGTTTTAATGTTATGGCTGACTGGTGTGTGTGTGTGGTGATAGTTGATAATGCTGCAGTGGTTATGTGCTCTTTGTTTGTACTTAAAAAAAAGCTTGAACTTTTGTTTGTGTTTGTGCAAAATGAAAAAAAATTCAAATAAATATATATATATATAAATATATATTGAAATTATTGAATATAAAGTATGTTAAGTGCACTATAAAACCATTAAACCATTAATGAATATTTATTTCTTTTACTATTTCAGTACGTGTTGATACATCTTTCATTTTTTTAACAGATAAAGTTCTGCTACACTGTGATGAGGGTCATGATATCAATGACTGAGGTGGCTGGTAATTAGCTTTATATAGCTCTAGCTAGACAGCCAGCCTATACAACCATGACACTAAAGGCCTGAGACTTGTGTCAGACAGACAACTTTGCATAATCCTTGGAAAATCCTCTGATTCTCAAATGCAGAGAAATCCAGACTGAGAACTGGATTAGTCCCAGCACAGTGGCCCCTACAATTTATATGAAAAAAAAAAGAAAGAAAAGTTTTTCCTGCCTTTAACCGACACTGTAACAGTCAGATATGGGCTGACACTCTTGCTTGTGTAAATCCAGCCTGTGATGATGTAGACAACAGAGGAACAGCTCTATCTGGTGGCTCAAACACAACACTACTTGTATATTTGATGAAAAGAAGTTACAACTCGTTCTTTTCTCTACATAACAAAACGTAAACTCATTTGCAGGGAGCTGGAACACACAGTGGGCTCATATCATCCACAATTTTGGGATTTTTCCCACCAGTACTAACTCACGTGTTATGACCTTTCAATTTTGATTCTTACTAACCAAGTTTTTGACCTGAGCAGAAGAAAGTATTGGAAAGGTAATATGAGGGATTTTTAAATCTTACTTTAGTCTGTGATCATGAACCTCTCCTCGTTCAATGTGCTCAGTGTTCTGTGTGCACTGGTGAGACAGTCTGAAGATAATCCATGTAACATTAAACCTGCAGTAATAAACAAAGATGGTATTTGCAGAAAATCAGCTGGAAGGTCTGCAGTGTTGTGATCCACATCCAAAACATCATCCAAATTTTTTTTTTTTTTTTTTTTTTTTTTTTTTTTTTTTTAAAATTGGTGAGCCTATGGTGTAAAAGAATTTATACTTTCAAAGGCTTTGAAAAAATCCTTTGAAATTGCTTTCCACTTTTCATGATCTTAATATACACTTAGTTAATTTACACTTATTTTTGCATCTGGTGTCATTGACCACTCTGGTGTTAGAGAGGTTACAGTTCTCATCGGGAGTAACTTCATTGCAATTGGAGGCAAAATCTCATCATAACAGGAGGGAGACATCTGCATTTAGCATCATGACCTCTGCAGTACTGGAGCTAAAAGTATAACTGTCAATGAGGATGGTATTTGGCAACATCACTGTCTTTGTATGTCTCTTCATATCCACACAGATCACCTGATCCATCAAAAATAAATAGTTCAAGAACTAAAATCATGTATACTTACCGAGACAATGCACACACCACTTTCCTTTATGTTTTTGTAATACAGTATGTACTAGTATTATATGCTACATAGTATAATAAATGGTAATGCTACTATACAGAATATATTATCTACATATAAAGAACCTGCCATGACAGTTAGAGTACTTTTATGCACGCTTAACACCGGCTAAAGACCAAAGCAATGCTGCAAAGAGATTTTGATATATGATTGAAAATTGATATTTTATTTGGAGGCTTCATCTTTTCAGATTATCATAAGATTTCTCAACATTCAGTTTCAACATTTTCCACATGCTGACAACATCCTTAAATGATGGTTAGTGGACCGTGTTGGTGCCAGAAATAAAGACAGAAGAAGCCTGGTTGATGACAAAAATAAGGTTAAACAGCAAGTACAAAAACTAACTCATTTTGATTAAGTCATTCTGGTTCTGGCCGACAATCCTGACAGCTCAGTGAGCAGGTACAAAAAGAATACACTGACCGTGTACAGTGCAAAGTATATTTAGATAACAGTAACAACTGGCTTTTGTGCGACCTCAGTAAAGAACTGCACAAGAACAAAAAGCTGGAACTACTACCGAGCCTCTTGTAAGATAATGGTAGGTTGATTAAAGAGCCTGTTTGCCAGAGCTTGTGTATTATGTAAGTAATAAGTGGCTTTTAGAAAATTAAAAAATGCTTTGGCAATGAAGAGCTGAGGGGGGTGGGGGGGTGTTCAGAGCACAGGAACTGTGATGATATTCAAACTATCAGACTCTAATACAATCTCCAATTACAGTATGGTCCGTGACTTGAATGTCAGAGATCTCAGCAGCACCGAACAAAATTACCATCACACTCCTGCAGGTGTCATCTTGAGCTCCTTCAGATTTATCCCCAGAGGAAACAATTCAATTTCCAAATTAAGTGCCTTTTTTTCTTTTCTTCTTTTTTTTTTAAACTCATTTTAAACCTCTCTTCCATCCTCAGCACTTAGCCCTCTTTCCGTAGCTGTCCACCACCCCTGGCGTGACGCTGTCGTCCTCCTCCACGTCCTCCGACACGGTCTTACCGACCAGCTGGAAGATGTCTTCAGCTGCAACTCCCATGGGATCAGCCACTTTTACTGCCAACATGTCCACAGTCAGGACGGTTCCTCTGGGGATTTTTACTTTTGCCACCACTGACTTCCCCAACTAGTGGAAAAAGAAAGAGGGGAGAGACATTAGTTAGCATAAAGTTGAAAAAAAATTAGGAAAAGTAACAGCTCAAATATCTTCTTAAACTTTTCTGACCCTAACCCTTATTTTCTTGAAGAAAGAGGAATTCTAACCTTATCATGGCATGGCTTTTCGCAGGGCAGCATCTGCTTGAGGCCGCTGCCCAGTGCCCTCTCCACCAGTCGGATGGAGCGGACCAGCTCAGTCAGCTCAGAGGGCTCCAGTGAGGCTGCGTGGTCACTTCCTTTCCACGTCTTGTCCAAGGTTATGTGACGCTCGATGACCTTTGCCCCAAGAGCAACGGCCGCCACCGAAATACTGATCCCAGACTCGTGTCCCGAGTAGCCAATGGGAATATCAGGAAATTCCTTCTGGTATTCCTGTTGTGGGTGAGATACTGTTTAAAAAAATCATATGTTATGATGCTCCTATCTAATAATAAGGATATAGCCTAAGTTTGTGAACATTAATAAAAACTAATGGTTATGGTAATTCTGCCTTTTTTGCTGTAGAGTGGACAACACAACTCAGAGAAATCTGGATTTAAGGTTGTAGGATGGACTCAAATTCATACAACTTAGACAGCTTAGATTATGAACTTTATCCAGTTCAGGTTTTAAAAAAGGAAAAAAAAACTAAATTAAAAAGTATTAGGACAAAATAAATGCTTATCCTAATCCAACTTTAACACAAAAGGTATGGAAATACTTTTACTAGAATCAGCTTTCATGTCTTATATCTGGGAAGATAAACAGTAAAATTTGGATTTGGCAAAACAAATATCTTGCCATCACAACATGGACTTGTTTACTTGAACATCATCACGATGAACCAACATTTGGTAAAATCTGATTCTATTGTATTTACAGTGATCACTCTGAGGTTGACGTCTTCAGCTTCCAGAGGGTAGGCGCTGGTGCACTGCAGGATGGTGAAGTTCTGGTTGTGCTCTTTCACCGTCTTGTAGACCCGACGCATCGTCTCCATGGACTGCATCCCACTGGACACCACCATGGGACGTCCTGACACACACAAGAGGGCAAAAATATAATTAACATCATGTTAATGAGCATGAGCAGAAGGCAAATTGCTATGGCAACACTTTTTTTTACTCTCAGAGAGTCCCAGGAGTTCAAGCAGGAATGTCAAGGAAGAGCAGTCTGAATAAGAATCATACACTAGACACTTGTGGCTTGTTTGCTCATCAAAAGGCACATCAGCCCGACTGATAGGGAGCACATTCAAGGTTTAGATCTCTTTGCTTATGGTCAACATTTTTCCAGTAACAACAGTTCACGCTCACCCTTCTTGGCAGTCTTCTCCAGATAGGGGAAGTTGTTGGTGTCTCCAGATCCCACTTTGAAGAAAGGCACATTGAGCTCATGGAGAAACTCCACTGCCATCTAAAGACAGAATGAGTTATGGTTAAACTTCAACTTAAACCTGATTGAAATGTCATGAAACCTCTCTATCTTTCTTACCTCGTCCATCCCTGAGGCAGTGAAGAAGATCCCCACTTCCTCTGCATATTTCTGCAGTTCCCTGTATTGCTCGTGGCTAAACTCTAGATGGCGCTTGTGTTCACCGTATGTTTTCCCCCATGAGTGTTTGGAGGTGTAGGGGCGCTCCAAGGCTCGCTTGTTGAACTTGTACTCTAATTCACTCTTCTGGAATTTGGCGCAGTCGGCACCACAGTCCTGTGAAGGTGGATATAAGTGAGAGCTAAAAAGAAGATGAAGCCTTTAAATCAAACTAAGTAGTGATGATTTATTTTAAGGGATTCCAATAATTTTTTTGAATACAAGTGATATATAACTGTAAATTCAGAAGATGGTGCTAGAGATCACAAAGAGATAACAAGAGCTTCCTACTAGGTCAGCTGAACACAATATGATGTTTTTTGTTTAAAAGCAAATACACAAATCAACATGTATGGAAAATAAAATTCACAATACTAAACTAACATTGGATTAATATATTTACAGCCCTGACAGGCTGCAATACCTGTCAAAACAAAGCAATACTTAGACTATAAAGGAGATGTCATACTGAAGCTTTTGGCTTTATTTCTGAATTTCTTTTTTTTTTTAATGTACATTTAATGTCTTTCCACTGCTGCACAAAACTACAGCCAGAAACCAAACCACCAACGGCACCAGTACACTCCATGCATCTATCCCTTTTTATTGAACTGAAGGCAGATAGCATCATTACCGTTTCTTTTATGTAGCCCAAGGCTGCAACATACTGTGGCTTTGTATAATTATATACATGGTTTTAAGTCAGCAGCCACACCTACCAGTACCTGGGACTAAGGTGAAAATCAGACATATTATCTTATCTATAATGTCGAAAAAACTGGCATGTACAATGGCGTCACGTGAATATAGTAGTCTAGTAAGGCCACTTTTATTACTACTATGTGCCATGCATAAATTTACACGCCAGACTCCATTCACAAATCCGGCGATTTATCATTCTACTACATGGCTCGACATCCTGTTACAAAAGTCCTTTACAGCCAATTGCATACAGCTAGTAGCCTGCATTAAACACCCCATTATATGCATAACTATTGATTCAAGTTTTAAGCTCGATAAACATACACTAGCTATGTTTATATTTTATTCAAATTAACGATTCAGAGGAGGAAGCTGTGGCGAGCAAGATTGTAAATTGGACGTCATGTCATTCCTGAGTGTGTGCACGCGTGCGAGCAAGCTGTAAAACGAGAGAAAGGAAAAATATTCAAAATAAACTAATACGTTGTTGCGTGTGTTTTTTTTTAATTACCTTTGCCATCTTGATCATTTTCTTGGCAATCTCGATGTCTCCCTGGTGGTTTTGTCCAATTTCAGCTATGATGAAGCATGGATGGTTACCTCCGATCATTCTACCGGGACACAGCTCAAACTTTAAAGGCATTTTGTTCACAAGAATGGAAACGAAGAGCAACCAGTTAAAATAATTCCTTCACAGAAGACTGTGGTGAGTTGTCTCTGGGAAAAGCCGACCGGAACAGTTTATGCGCTGCACATCCGGGATGTGGGAGGACTTCCTCTTTCGTAGTGAACCATAAATTAAAGCACACAGTACAGGTGAAAAGGTGGACGAAGAAAATGGTAGTCATTCCAGTTTTTGATCTTAAAATGCAAAATGTATAAACTCTAAAACTGAAACTAAATAAAACCATTAGTTGACAATTTTACACAAAATTTAGTTTAAACATAGTCTTGACATGTACTGTAAGTAAGGTGAGACTGGAAAACCCCCAAATCAAATTTGAAAAGATAGAGCATTGTTAAATAAAAATAAAGTAAGCTTATTGAGATCAATTTTATTTGATAGATGAACAACACAGAAACATTAATTACTATTACAGGACCACATCTGGCACCCTTGAAATCAACAGAGATTGCAAGAGAAATCCGAACACCATTTGTCTGTAAATTCCCCACAAATACACTATACATATATAGGCACTGCATGTGATTAAAGAGTAGCCTATATATTCAAACATGTAATCACACATCACACTTTCATGATCATGATTTACTGCTGGAGAAATTAGGCAGGGACAGATCATTCCAAACAGAGATGATGTTACCATTGAATGAGGGAATTTTACAAGCCAGCTGTGATGCAAATGTAGCTGACCAGCTGATAACCAGCTAATATTTGCATGCATTCTCATTGACATGCAGATGTGCCCAACATTTATCTTGTTAAAGTTGTACAAATCACACTACAGCCATGCAACTCCACTTTTTGGCTTTTACTGTGAGAATATGTTTTCATTATGTTAGAATATGTTATTGTGTTAATCCAGAGTTCTGAACTGAGGTGCATAACTGGCTTGGCAATACTACACAAATACATTTCACAACAACACACCCCTTTTAAATAAACTGTCAACATCACTGCTTGAGTAATTTTAATTTTTCTATTCAGACCTGTTCAGCCTGAGTGTAATTTGCCTTTCAAACCTCTTGTCTTTCTCTTTCACTCAAAAGTCCTAATCCTCAGTTTTTCTTTTTGGCATCCCTATCATTCGCTCTTCTGTATCTCTTTCTGTTCACAATGTCAATCTCACTGTAAATCATTTACCTGTGTGCCTCTCTCTCTGCCTCTCATTCTCTCTCCTTCTATCCCTCTCTCTGTCTGTCTGCCTCTCTCTCTCTCCCTTATTCTATCATGTTTGCCAAGATGCTGTCATCCTCCTCCACGTCCACTTTGAGCTTCTTGCCCACAAGCTGCTGCATATTCTCTGGAGGGATGCCCTTTGGCTCACCAACCTTCACTGCGAACATGTCCAGGCTCAGAGCCACGCCTTTGCGGATGGCCACCTTGGCCACCACTGACTTGCCCAACTGGAATCAAAAAAAGAGAGGAGACAAACAAAACAAAACCATTGTCATATTATTAAAACTGACAAATTGGGAAAGGAAAAAATATTGGACCATACGATTTCCAGTGGAGCTAGTTTATATGTATCTATCTGATCATCATATCAGCTCATATCAGTTGGAGGAAATAATTTAATTATTATTTAAATCTGCTACAGTACACATCATGTTAGGAAAAATAATATTACTATTACTATTCTCTGTTTATTACTTTCACATATTTGTGTTTTTCCTGAACTAAGGTGGTGGTTGTGCACATGCAAAAAACAACAGGATAGAAACAAAGATAGCATGCACAAAGAAGTGTGTTCATGTGCCCAGAGAGTGATCTGTCACACTCTTGATGGGAGATGGCGGACCATTGTTTGCAAAGACAATTTCTTTATTATTTGAAAAAGTCCCTTTGCTTAAAACTAAAATGGGGTTATATTAAAGTTGGGGGACTTGTGAGCGACAGGTTAAAAAAAGAAAGAATGGCCAAAATGAGAGCAGCTAAAGTGGAGACACCCTGAACTTTAGCCTCTTGTATGGAATCCAACCAACCTTATCGTGGCAGCTCTTCTCACAGGGTAGCATCAGCTTGACAGGTGATCCCATCGCCACCTCCACCTGTCGGATGGCTCGGACCAGATCTGCCAGCTCTGTGGGCTGCAGGGACGCCTCATGGTCATTTCCCTTCCAGGTCTTATCCAGGGTCACGTGGCGTTCCACGACCTTTGCCCCCATCGCCACCGCGGCCACGGTGATGCAGATCCCCTGCTCGTGTCCGGAATATCCAATGGGAACATCTGGGAATTCCTTCTGGTATTCCTTCATGAGGAGAAAGGGAAGAAGTAAAAATTTATTTGCCACTAATGCTTTTAGTGTGTGTTGTGTGTATAATGCCTGTTATCTATCTGTTAGGATCAGGTCCAGTTTTCCTGTCGTCTCTGCTGTGTTCCCTTTTATCTCGTGTTCTGTTTGTCCCCAGTCCATGCTATTGGTGTGTCTTTGTGTTTGTGTGTCCCAGTGCACCTGAGTGTGGCCTCCTGAGCTTCCTTTTCCCACCAGTCTCCTTCCAACCCTGATATTCATCTTGCCATCAACTCCAGTATAAACACACTGATCTCACCATTGTTCGCCAGATTATTCAGTCACCAATAGTGGTATTTTGACACGTCCAGTTCTGTTTTTTTGCCTGCCTGCCCAGTCCTGATCCCACCTATCTGTCAGAATCCAGTCACCTGTGGCTCTCCACCTGGCTCCACTACTGCATGATCTGTCGAGGAGTCCATTTTCCCCCGCAAGTCCTTGACTACAGAGATAAACAGACTGCCCCTACACCTGGTCGTAGCCAGTTTGTCTAGTTATACGTACCATACCTTTTATCAGATTTCAACTTATGAAGCCATCCATCCTGTTTAAGAAAGGATGGGCTACACCCAAGAAGCACACGTGCTGGCACAGAGACAGAGATAATACATCTCAAGGAAGACTCACTATAGTATTTCTTATAATTCTGCAAAATGCATTAAACTGAACAGCAAGACAGTCATGTGTGATACATCACAATATCTGTGCAATTCAGCAGGGAATCATTCCTCCTAAAAAGGCAGAGCGCTTTTTACAAATGTATACTGTATTTATTCACACACACTGTGAGGAGCTTTCAGTTTGACTATTCAGTAGAGATGAGAGATGTTATCATACTGCACTCCAAACAGGGATGACTAATTGGACATGACGACTGACTGGGAGGAGACACTTGTTCTTTTGCTCTTACTGCTATCACACTGAGGTTGACATCTTTTGGATCCAGAGGGTAGGCACTGGTGCACTGCAGAAGGGTGAAGTTCTGGTTGTGCTCCTTCACCGTCTTGTAGACCCGACGTATCGTCTCCATGGACTGCATCCCAGTGGACACCACCATGGGCCTCCCTGACACAGACAGATCGGTACATAGAGAAAGTTATGATGTCTGTCATAGGATCTACCACCCTGAATTTATTTACAAAGTTTTCTTTACATTTGCAAGCTCAGCCTTGGTTTTCATGCTAAGCTATGACAGCATGCATGAACCTTTATTCATAAAACATCACTTTCATCAACATATGGTAAACAATCTGAGATTTAATGCACTGGCTTGTAACCCTCGCACACCTATTTTCTGTTAATTTTTTTCTTTTTAAAAGACGTTACAACCTGTAGATGTTGAGGAACAAGGAAAGCAACATTTAGCTGATGTTATCAGGCGAGTACCTCCGTAACATTGGTTCAGGTCAGAGTCATTTTAAGTTACATACTATACAGCTTTTTACCTTTTTTGGCAGTTTTTTCCAGATAGGGGAAGTTGTTCGCATCGCAGGAAGCAACTTTGAAGAAAGGCACATCCAGCTCATGGAGGAACTCCACAGCCATCTATGGAAATCAACGTAGTTAGAGCACAAACCTATGTATGTTCTCTGCTCTTAAGTCTTTCAATGTCCAACCTCCATAGGCTAAGTATTAGCAATTCTTTCTTCTTCTTTTCAGCCGTTGTATTTTTTTTTTTTCATCTTAAAGAATACAATAATGTGAAGAACAGCCAGTGTGCTGAAATGTATTACACTTGTCTTGTGGATTAAAGTGGACCTGGGCTGTGGATTCAAATATATGTTACCTCATCCATGCCAGAGGCTGTGAGGAAGATGCCAATCTCTGTCGCATAGATTTTCAGCTCCCGGTACTGATCATGGCTGAACTCCAAGTGACGCTTGTGTTCACCATAAGTTTTGCCCCAGGAGTGTTTTGAATTGTAGGGGCGCTCCAAGGCTCGCTTGCTGAATTTGTACTCTAATTCACTTTTCTGTAACTTAGCACAATCTGCACCACAGTCCTGAGAAGACAACGGGGCAGAGAAGAAGAGAAGAGAAGAGAAGAGAAGAGAAGAGAAGAGAAGAGAAGAGAAGAGAAGAGAAGAGAAGAGACTGGATTGATTTTGACAGCACAAAACAACATTTTTTTTAAAAATTACTATCTTCTTTATAGGCACAGTTTCACCTTTTTAATTTCCCTTTGCCATTTTTATCATTTTCTTGGCAATCTCGATGTCTCCCTGGTGGTTTTGTCCAATTTCAGCAATGATGAAGCATGGATGGTTACCTCCGATCATTCTTCCGGGACACAGCTCAAACTGCAGAGGCATTCTGGTGATATAGGTGAACTGATGAGTGAATAGCAGACAGGAGTGAGATTTTTCACAATTTCACAGGTGAGAGATGCCAAGTGAAGCGAACGTCCCTCAGGTGAAAAAATTTGCAGGAAGTCCAAGTGGTACAAAGTGCCTTTTATAGTAAGCCCGAGGAGCCCCACCTCCACAGGTGCTAAAACTACACGTAATGGAGCAGGTGTTGAATCAAACTGCAGTCAACTGAAACTAGCTCATCCCACTTCCTCTTCCTGGATTTTGCAGACTAACCGAAATGCATCCAACACAACAAAGAGTGGAGTGAGATAGGAAGAAGCTGCTTGTTTTGATATAGTTATAGTTGTATTTTGGTGGAGATCTCAGTTTTTTCCAAGACACCAAATATGTCAGTTTGAGGGAAATAAGAATAAATGAAAGCACAGATATCTGGAATATACACATTTGATATAATGGTGCATCCAGTGTCATATTGTTTGGAAAAATACTTTTTCTAACTTTAAATCTATTGGACATTTTTAAAACAACAGATACTAACAAAATAAAAACATAGAGTACAATTTTACAGCCGGGATAAATTAGTCAATAACTTCTTACTTGTGTGCCCCTTATATGTAACAAGCCATACTTTGTATCAAATTAGACAAAACTATAAATAACTTTGTTCTTTATTAGACAGTATACAAACATAGTTATACCCTATTTAAATCCAAAATAAATTATACTTAGACATTATTACACCAAATTATACTTTAATTAGAAACCAACTAGGAGACCCTAATATATGGTCTAACTGGAGTTTGTCTCTTTTCCTCCAAAGGCAAGTTTAATGTCATGACAAAGCCACAGTGCAGCACCTGATGGTGCAAAAAATGAAGACTTCTGTATGTAATTACTTTACATATGATCAAATTTATATTTGAATCAATGTAGCTGGCAGGGCTGTTGTGATGTGACTCAGACGCTCTGATGATAAACATCACATCTTTAAACATTAGTCTTTTCAGACTGTGAGGTGATTAAAATGCCAGATAGTAAGACGATCCTCACAATCAAAAAATAAGCATGGACTCACAAAACCAGATATTGTGTGGAACAGCACATGACATGAGCCTGTGCCTGTGTCATATTTCACAATGGAAATTTCAGCAATTTAAATGTAGGCCTACTGGTGTGCCAGGAATGATGTAATCTGAGGATTTTGTTATTTCATTTTTGCAAAACCTTGTTAATAACGATGCACGTTGGTTTTACTAGTTGTAATACGTTTTAGTGAGGGAAGTAGCAGCTCAAAAAGGACACAGAGAATCCAAAATGACTTGGTAGCCAAGCATGTACATCAGTACAACAGTACAACATGTACTCTCATTTTGTTTTTGGTTTCCCCTCCATTTACATTTACTGGGGCAAAACAATTTTCCCAGAAAAAAGATACCTGAAAAAACTCTCTTGACATGGGTTAGGGTTAGCTTAAAATGCAAAATGTATAAACTCCAAAACTGAAACTAAATAAAACCATTACTTGACAATTTTACACAAAATTTAGTTTAAACATAGTCTTGACATGTACTGTAAGTAAGGTGAGACTGGAAAACCCCCAAATCAAATTTGAAAAGATAGAGCATTGTTAAATAAAAATAAAGTAAGCTTATTGAGATCAATTTTATTTGATAGATGAACAACACAGAAACATTAATTACTATTACAGGACCACATCTGGCACCTTTGAAATCAACAGAGATTGCAAGAGAAATCCGAACACCATTTGTCTGTAAATTCCCCACAAATACACTATACATATATAGGCACTGCATGTGATTAAAGAGTAGCCTATATATTCAAACATGTAATCACACATCACACTTTTATCATGATTTACTGCTGGAGAAATTAGGCAGGGACAGATCATTCCAAACAGAGATGATGTTACTATTGAATGAGGGAATTTTACAAGCCAGCTGTGATGCACTTATCAGTTTGGACAGGGCTGGTGGTGCAACTATATTTCCTTTGTTTACCTGTGGCGTACAGAAAGCAAACAGTGCAAGGATGCAAATGTAGCTGACCAGCTGATACCCAGCTAATATTTGCATGCATTCTCATTGACATGCAGATGTGCCCAACATTTATCTTGTTAAAGTTGTACAAATCACACTACAGCCATGCAATTCATTTGCCACTAATGCTTTTAGTGTGTGTTGTGTGTATAATGCCTGTTATCTATCTGTTAGGATCAGGTCCCGTTTTCCTGTCGTCTCTGCTGTGTTCCCTTCCCTCTCGTGTTCTGTTTGTCCCCAGTCCATGCTATTGGTGTGTCTTTGTGTGTGTGTGTCCCAGTGCAGCTGAGTGTGGCCTCCTGAGCTTCCTTTTCCCACCAGTGTCCTTCCAAACCTGATATTCATCTTGCCATCAACACCAGTATAAACACACTGATCTCACCATTGTTCGCCAGATCATTCAGTCACCAATAGTGGTATTTTGCCACGTCCAGTTCTGTTTTTTTGCCTGCCTGCCCAGTCCTGATCCCACCTATCTGTCAGAAGGGTTAGGGTTAGTACATGCACCACAATACTGAGGCATAATTAAACCTTTGATATCCTATCACATTCAGACATTGGATTGAATGGTACATCATTGCTGAGCGTGTTTCTGATTAGNACACCAAATATGTCAGTTTGAGGGAAATAAGAATAAATGAAAGCACAGATATCTGGAATATACACATTTGATATAATGGTGCATCCAGTGTCATATTGTTTGGAAAAATACTTTTTCTAACTTTAAATCTATTGGACATTTTTAAAACAACAGATACTAACAAAATAAAAACATAGAGTACAATTTTACAGCCGGGATAAATTAGTCAATAACTTCTTACTTGTGTGCCCCTTATATGTAACAAGCCATACTTTGTATCAAATTAGACAAAACTATAAATAACTTTGTTCTTTATTAGACAGTATACAAACATAGTTATACCCTATTTAAATCCAAAATAAATTATACTTAGACATTATTACACCAAATTATACTTTAATTAGAAACCAACTAGGAGACCCTAATATATGGTCTATCTGGAGTTTGTCTCTTTTCCTCCAAAGGCAAGTTTAATGTCATGACAAAGCCACAGTGCAGCACCTGATGGTGCAAAAAATGAAGACTTCTGTATGTAATTACTTTACATATGATCAAATTTATATTTGAATCAATGTAGCTGGCAGGGCTGTTGTGATGTGACTCAGACGCTCTGATGATAAACATCACATCTTTAAACATTAGTCTTTTCAGACTGTGAGGTGATTAAAATGCCAGATAGTAAGACGATCCTCACAATCAAAAAATAAGCATGGACTCACAAAACCAGATATTGTGTGGAACAGCACATGACATGAGCCTGTGCCTGTGTCATATTTCACAATGGAAATTTCAGCAATTTAAATGTAGGCCTACTGGTGTGCCAGGAATGATGTAATCTGAGGATTTTGTTATTTCATTTTTGCAAAACCTTTATAATAACGATGCACATTGGTTTTACTAGTTGTAATACGTTTTAGTGAGGGAAGTAGCAGCTCAAAAAGGACACAGAGAATCCAAAATGACTTGGTAGCCAAGCATGTACATCAGTACAACAGTACAACATGTACTCTCATTTTGTTTTTGGTTTCCCCTCCATTTACATTTACTGGGGCAAAACAATTTTCCCAGAAAAAAGATACCTGAAAAAACTCTCTTGACATGGGTTAGGGTTAGCTTAAAATGCAAAATGTATAAACTCCAAAACTGAAACTAAATAAAACCATTACTTGACAATTTTACACAAAATTTAGTTTAAACATAGTCTTGACATGTACTGTAAGTAAGGTGAGACTGGAAAACCCCCAAATCAAATTTGAAAAGATAGAGCATTGTTAAATAAAAATAAAGTAAGCTTATTGAGATCAATTTTATTTGATAGATGAACAACACAGAAACATTAATTACTATTACAGGACCACATCTGGCACCTTTGAAATCAACAGGGGTTGCAAGAGAAATCCGAACACCATTTGTCTGTAAATTCCCCACAAATACACTATACATATATAGGCACTGCATGTGATTAAAGAGTAGCCTATATATTCAAACATGTAATCACACATCACACTTTTATCATGATTTACTGCTGGAGAAATTAGGCAGGGACAGATCATTCCAAACAGAGATGATGTTACTATTGAATGAGGGAATTTTACAAGCCAGCTGTGATGCACTTATCAGTTTGGACAGGGCTGGTGGTGCAACTATATTTCCTTTGTTTACCTGTGGCGTACAGAAAGCAAACAGTGCAAGGATGCAAATGTAGCTGACCAGCTGATACCCAGCTAATATTTGCATGCATTCTCATTGACATGCAGATGTGCCCAACATTTATCTTGTTAAAGTTGTACAAATCACACTACAGCCATGCAATTCATTTGCCACTAATGCTTTTAGTGTGTGTTGTGTGTATAATGCCTGTTATCTATCTGTTAGGATCAGGTCCCGTTTTCCTGTCGTCTCTGCTGTGTTCCCTTCCCTCTCGTGTTCTGTTTGTCCCCAGTCCATGCTATTGGTGTGTCTTTGTGTGTGTGTGTCCCAGTGCAGCTGAGTGTGGCCTCCTGAGCTTCCTTTTCCCACCAGTGTCCTTCCAAACCTGATATTCATCTTGCCATCAACACCAGTATAAACACACTGATCTCACCATTGTTCGCCAGATCATTCAGTCACCAATAGTGGTATTTTGCCACGTCCAGTTCTGTTTTTTTGCCTGCCTGCCCAGTCCTGATCCCACCTATCTGTCAGAAGGGTTAGGGTTAGTACATGCACCACAATACTGAGGCATAATTAAACCTTTGATATCCTATCACATTCAGACATTGGATTGAATGGTACATCATTGCTGAGCGTGTTTCTGATTAGCGCAAGTCCTTGACTACAGAGATAAACAGACTGCCCCTACACCTGGTCATAGCCGGTTTGTCTAGTTATACATATCAGATTTCAACTTATGAAGCCATCCATCCTGTTTAAGAAAGGATGGGCTACACCCAAGAAGCACACGTGCTGGCACAAAGACAGAGATAATACATCTCAAGGAAGAC